TATTAAAATTGTTTTATATAATTGATATTTGACAAAATATAATGAAATTAATTGAATATATTAAAATCATTTAAACAAACATTATAAATGTTTTTTTTTTTAATATTCAGATATTCATTAAAAGACTATTCTTTAAAATTACAAACCTGTTAATCAGATAGTAATAAAAAAATTAAACCTTAAAAAGGCGACGACACACAGTGGGAAAAAATGCAAATCTAGCGCGCAGAAAATAAAAGTAGATGTTTTACAGTATGTTTATCGATATTTTGGATAGGAATAGATTTAGATGGACAATTTTAATTATTTTGTGAAAATAGTTGGCAATTTTTTTTATTAACCCACTAAGCGCCGATTTTTTTTAGAAAAAACTAAAATTTTTAAGTGAAAATTACTATTTTGAAGCTTTTAAAAATTTTTTTAATAAGCAAAATTTTTCGTTATAACTAGTAGTTCTCCTAGAATGGGAGCTTCTTTTAAAAATTCCGAAACATTTGGTAAAAAGTGGGTTAAGGGCAAACACTATTGTTATTATATGTATCTTTATTATTGTTAATATTATATATCTAAAACATTAAACTATATATATTTTATAAAATTTTGGCATTACTAATTAAATACTAATCACATTCAGAATCCGAGTTTTGATTTGAATTATTTGGTAGCATTAGATCCTCCAGTTGTTTAAGGTGTGGCTCACTATATCGATGGTTAAGAGATGTACTACGGGACAAACTTTATATTTTTGGATCAGAAGAAAATAGCAACCTGTTTCCTCACGACTAATATTTCTGGTGTACAGTTCCCTGTAGTTCGAATGTCCTTATTTCTGGATTCCATGGCTTCTTCAGACAACATTCCTATGAGCAAAGCTGCACATATAATTATATCAGCTCCATGCACTAATATTTTGTGTATGCTTGAGGGCGAAAAGAATAAATGTTTCCTCTGTTTCTGCGTTAATAGCATATCCACAGGCCATGGATAGATTGTTGTTCCGGATACTGACTTAGGTGTGTCAAAAATAATGTGCATTTCTTCCTTCAAATCATTAATGATACGTGCCTTCCTTTCATCGAAAAGTGGCCCATCGGAGCTATTAATTTTTCACTTTTTCAAAACCAGTCGGTATGAAATGTGCAATATACATTCTAAACATCGAATCCTTGCATGTAAGGTAGACAGGCCGTTTCGTATAAGTTGAATTTTGGTGTTAATGGCGAAATTTTGTTGTAATTTGCTTATACCGAAAACCATAAATGTAGGTAAAACCGTGTATATATGAATGTTACACCAATTATATTTTTTCAGGGTTCATAAAGTAGACCCTTTACATGCGGTATTTAAGAAGACTCTTACAACAAATTTCGTTGTAATTTCAATTTTTATTTAGAAAGACATTTGGAATAAATGCATATTAAGTGCATGAGTTTAAAATTAATGTTTGGAGCAGCTTACTTAAATACCCTCATTTTCATACTCACACCCATTACTCTGGAACCTTAGGACGGACTTTTTTTATTTTTTTTTTTTTTTGTTTTTTTTTTTGTTTTCCTTATCTGCTATGCTGTGATCTATGCCAAGTCATATTTGATGAATTATATCAACAAAATTCACAAATTTTTAATTTTATTGGAACAAAACCTTAAAAAAGCTTCCTACAGCAAATTGGCATTTTTTTCAAAAAATTGCCATTCATCCGAGAGTAGCAGGAAAAAAATTTAGTATGATGTTCTAGACAGACACACAAAACACGACCATCGCAATTTTATAGCTAAAAAATACCATTTTTAACATTGGAAAAAATATATATTTTAAATTACCGTTATTCCGTTCTAACGTATTAATTTTGATTATTTTGTACGGATTTAAGTACACTCAACACTCTACTTTAAAACTGCATTAAAGTTTTTAAGTTTCCTTCAAGTTCATTTTTTTTATTTTCTGCGCCCTAGATCGGTATTTCTTCCCACTGTGCGACAGGTGCGGACGATCCTTCAAAAAATTATTTAATTCAAGTAAACGACATTTATAAATTAATAAATTTTCATTCATTATATAATTAGATATATTTCGTTTATCCATAATGAATGTGTGTGATACATAATCATCTGTCATAATAATCACCTTATCAGCTACATCGATCACCTTATCAGTGCACACGTCCTCGGTTATGCCAAACAGTGGTAGAAATTCTTGGCTAATTATCGAGTGCAAATTCACTCGTTACAAATCTTATATCTCATGCATTGACGGTATAATACAACTCATATAAATATTGATCTACTAGTCTGGGTAAGACAGTAGCAATCAAAACACAACCAATACTTCTATTACTCAGTGTAAAAAAATCCATCAAAAATCCTATACCAAAATGACTTGCAAAGGATGTAATAATAGTAAGTTACTTTTTATTTAGGACATTTATATTCCAATTTGGCTAATTATCACATTTTCTTCATAGATTGCCAATGTACAGCCCAGAAATGTGGTGACAATTGCGTCTGCAACCAGGAGTGCAACTGCGTCTGCAAGAATGGACCCAAAGAACAATGTTGCTCCAATAAAAATTAATTTTATTTGATTACTGGAATTGTTTTAAGCCTTTGAAAGCTTAAAATAAAAAATTAAAAAAATAAATCAATTTAAATAGTTCTATCTATATCGAAGAAAATAGTAAAATCTAGCAGATTCTTGCAGTACGGGAACAGACCAATAATATCATTATTATTTTATTTTGGGAGATATTTATTTTTATACCCTACACAACTATGTTGTCAGGGTATTATAGTTTTGTGCAGCCCCAAGAGTTTGTAACGCCGCGAAATATTGGTCCTAGACGCACCTTTAAATATACCGATCGTCATATCTCGACTAGACGAGTCGATCTAGACATGTTTGTCCGTCCATTATAATTTGTAAACACGATACAGGCCACAGTTATGGACCAATCGTCACGAAATTTTGCATGTAGGATGGGTTTGGGCCAATGAAGATGATGAAGATCGGTTACTATTTAGGGGATGACATGGACCAAAAACTTTATTTTTATCGGGGTTTCCGGTTGCTACAGATGTCATAATTATGACCCGAAAACCACAAAATGTTACACCAGGAAGGGATCTGCCCAAAGTATAAGCATGACAATTTTTATGAAAGATCGGTCAATAACTGGGCCCAGACTTTTTTGTGAAAAATTACATAGGACATAGACCCTACAAGTTGATTGTATATCCAAGAGGAGTGGTAGACGCTTAAATTAATACCAATTATATTGTTGTATGTAATCGAACGTGAGAGTTATACTTCAATATTTACAGATGTCTACGTATTCTGATATTATTTAGAAACCTAATACCCACTAATGAGCGGAAATATCAGGCCGACCACTTTGAAATGTTACATAAAGTTTCGGTTTTACATTTTTAGGGGGTGCAATGAGCCGAAAACTTTACTTTTGACACATATTTTACACGGTGAATACGATCTGACCAAATACTTATAACGGGTGTTTAGATGACGATCGGCCAATATTCCGAGGGTCAAATCAACCAAAACGTAAAGTGAAAAAACATTTATTTTATGACGAAAAATATACCAAGGTTAGAGAATGGAGCTGTTGATCTGTAATCGGTCATGAGGAAGCAAATGTTTCGAAACACTGTCCAGGCACAGAAAATAGAATCTTCGAACTCGAATGAGCTGCTTATTTTTAGTTAAAATTTCCTCTAAAATATTATCAATATTAGCCCACTTTTTAGGATATCCCCCAAGTTTCAATATTTAGACAGGCTTTTTAATCAAATTGCATGTTTTTTTTTTGATTCACATTGAAATCCCTTATCAAAGGTTATTAATGCTCGACCATGTTTTATGTATTTTGAAGATTTCTTAAAAATATTTTTCCTTGAACCAATACAGACAGGCGTGGATTTTTTAAAAATATTTTTCCTTGAACCAATACAGACAGGCGTGGATTTTTTAAAAATATTTTTCCTTGAACCAATACAGACAGGCGTGGATTTTTTAAAAATATTTTTCCTTGAACCAATACAGACAGGCGTGGATTTTTTAAAAATATTTTTCCTTGAACCAATACAGACAGGCGTGGATTTTTTAAAAATATTTTTCCTTGAACCAATACAGACAGGCGTGGATTTTTTAAAAATATTTTTCCTTGAACCAATACAGACAGGCGTGGATTTTTTAAAAATATTTTTCCTTGAACCAATACAGACAGGCGTGGATTTTTTAAAAATATTTTTCCTTGAACCAATACAGACAGGCGTGGATTTTTTAAAAATATTTTTCCTTGAACCAATACAGACAGGCGTGGATTTTTTAAAAATATTTTTCCTAGAGCCAATACAGACAGGCGTGGATTTTTTAAAAATATTTTTTCAATGGCCAATACAGACAGGCGTGGATTTTTTAAAAATATTTTTTCAATGGCCAATACAGACAGGCGTGGATTTTTTAAAAATATTTTTTTTATTTTATTTTTTATAAGTTTTTTACGAAGTTTCTAGATTTCAATTCATAAGCATCATATGAAGAGAATAGAGCATACTATTTGATTCATAGAATGCACATCGCAGTATTTATATCAAACCTAAATTAAATCCAAAGTTTTGTTTTTGTCACTTCTTCTGGTAACTCCCCACAGATAATCAAATTGTTAATAAAAAATATGTCATATAAAGCGAACATATTTTTAGTACAAATGCCGGCTTCCTACATATCAATTTCCCCCATTCCATTTAGATGTTCATGAAATTAAATAAGAGAAAGATATGGTTAGATATGGTTCCCCCATTCCATTTAGATGTTCATGAAATTAAATAAGAGAAAGATATGGTTAGTGAAATTGCAACCATAATGAAACTATTCTGAGTATAAGTATTGAAATGTATACAGTTGAGAACAAACCGGATACTTTGTTTCATAAATTATACAAATATTTCACTTTGTAATGTTTTATTTTATTAACTTTCAAATTTTCAATATAATTTCAATGGTCATGCAAATTAATTTTTATTTGAGCAGCATTGATCCTTGGGTCCATTCTTGCAGACACAGTTGCATTCCTGGTTGCAGGCACAATTGTCACCACATTTCTGGGCCGTACATTGGCAATCTATAAGAGGGGAAAACGAGAACGAGTCGTTAATTAACTAAACTTTGATAGAATTTAATTAAAATAAAAAATAACTTACTGTTATTACATCCCTTGCAAGTCATTTTGATTTAAATGTTTGATGTATTTTTACACTGAATAATAAAAGTATTGACTGTGTTTTAATTAGTACTGTCTTACTCAAACTCCAGTACTGTATTTATATGCGAGGTGTATATCGTCACATATAAGCATTGTAACGAGTGAATTTGCACTCGATAAATATCACCGAGTTTTGACCTTTTTTTTTGCATAACGACAAACGTGTGCACTGATAAGTTCATATATGTTAATGATAAGGTAATTATTATGACAGATAATTATATGTCATACACACATATATGTATTTTGAAATATATATTTAAAAAATAATATTCGTAAAATGCACACACATATTTGTGATTTTATATATATATATATATATATATATATATTATTTTTTTTAATCTATTACTTCTGAATATTATTTTACTTAAAAACTAATATTTCATATAACCAGAATATATCTATGTACGTATGACAGATATTGTCATAATAATTACCTTATCATCAACATCGATCACCTTATCAGTAATGCGCACGTCTTCGGCTATGCTAAACAAGAATAGAAATTCCTTGCTAATTATCGAGTGCAAATTCACTCGTTACAATGCTTATATCTCGTATGATTAGACGATAAATAAAACACATATAAATATAACACGAGAGTTTGATGAAAGCAGTACCAATCAAAACCCAACAAATATTTGTATCAATCAGGACAAAAATCGTACAAAAATCATACACCAACATGACTTGCAAAGGATGCAATAACAGTAAGTTACATTTTATTCAAGGACAATTAATTTTCCAACTTGCCTCATTATTACATTTTCTCCTCTCTCATAGACTGCCAATGTACAGCCCAGAAATGTGGCGACAATTGTGCCTGCAACAAGGAATGCAACTGTGTCTGCAAAAATGGACCCCAGGACCAATGTTGTTCAAATAAAAATTAATTTTGATGATGACTTCAAAGCTGCAATGATATAACATTTTCAAAATAAATAATAAAAAATATATATGAATTTGAACATAGTTTTTACAGTCTTAATGTTATAACGGCGATTTGAAGTTAAACGATTTGTTTTCCTATTATAAAAATATATTATCTGCTGGTGGAAATTATCTTAACGACTGAAGCTCCCTCTACAGTATTTTTTGAGAACATGGCATATACAAGAGAAGAGATAAACGCATTACATGAACTTGGCACCACTGATGTAATTCTTAGCAAAGTCAACAACCCTAAAATACGGATAAAAAAGTAATTGTTTACATTTACAGTGGGATATGTGGCATTTTCAGAATTTTCCAAAAAAAAAAATTCAAAGTTCCGCCATTTTGTTAATTGTTGTGCGAAGTAAATAATCCTAGTTCATACGAGAGCCAGACATGTACTTTTTCTAACACCATTGGAATTTTCCGATTCCGATGTTCCAGTGAGGAGTTATCATGCCCGCCTTCAAAAATAAGGACTTTTCTTTGATCACAAAAACAACAACAACAAAAATTTTTGTAAATTATTTTTCTTCCTTTTTAAATCTTCAAATATATATATGTGCTCAGTTACAAATCTTAACAAGCATTGGCATTCATTTACCAGCCCATTTAAAATCTTAAAAATAAAAAATTGAGAATGGGGGGTTCCCTTAAATAACCCATAAATAAAGAACATTTTGAAATCAATAAATTTTTGCGTTTCAGGGTCGTACACATGGCATAACTATACAAGGTAGTCTCATTTGAGAAATTGATAATGGCAACCCTTCTTAATATGGAATTCATATATCAATTTCAAATAAATTCCATAAAATGTTACGCATGGCAATTGACAATTTTTCAAACAAAAAAATGTTTTTCTAAAGCTCCACATTGTTCTCAAAATTATATGAAAAAAATTGGAAATATATGACTGTCGTAAATAAATTCATGCGTATGCATACGAATTTATTCATCTCAAAAGTTAAATACATGTATTTCAATGAATGTTACCCAAATACGCATTGCGTATAAAAATATAAAGTTGAAAATTTTCAACAATGGAAATGCGTATTTTGGATTTTTTCCTTTTTCAAAATAGAATGTCAGTCATTGAAAAATTTGTGTTTCTATAAAAGTAAAAATTTATCGATCAATTAAAAAAAATGTTTTGTCCTGATTTATATGAGGCGAGTTTACTTGCGGCAATTTTTATCGTTCTCTTTCGAACTTGCTCCATGCGTCTATACAAGGCAATTCGGTTTCCAAAATATTTTTTAATTTGTTGTTTTTTCACATTTAAATATATATAAAATGTCAACAAATACGAAATACACAAAACGAATTGCCAGAAAATTGTCGGTACGAGCAATTTTTTTTCATTTCTATACCCCCTGCCCCTCTCTCCTACAAACAAAGACTTGCCGCAAGTAAACTCGCCTAATCTAAATCAAGACTTTCATCCATTTTCGCCATTTTCAATTAGCAAAGATGCAAATAAAGTCCTTGTTTATTTCGGTAATACGGACGTTCAACAAACCCTATAAAGGTGAGTATTTTTGTACGGAGCGCAATAAATTAGGTACAACCCTCAGGAACAAGACCTTTGATTCAATATTTACAATTCTAAGACCAGAATAATACTACCCTTTATTTATTATCCCTTCCACAAAACTTGAATTTTGTATGTAAATTAAAACCGAACCTACAAAACTCAAGAATGCCACTTAAAATGTAAAAATGTCAAAAACGTTTGAAGATATTGTCCATTTATAGTGGAAGCTTCAAGAATTTTGCCTCTTTTTTTAACCTAAAAATGTATTTGATATTTTCGGTTATGTTTAAAATGGCTGCAAATGGGATTCAAAATATCAATGGAAATTGTGAGTAGAGGTGTCTAGTGGGTTGCAAAATCTCATTGGAATATGTTGATATAGGTTATATTTTGTGGAACTAAAAAATATATTGCAAATATGCAAATGACAGTATCCTCACGATGAAGAATAGAAAAATATTTATAATCAAAATCTCAAATTACAACCAATTCAACCAAAGTGTAAAAATCCCGAAAATGTTGAATATTTGATGGTACCGTACGTTAAAGTAAATTTTCAATACCAATCAATAACGGACCGAGATGATTGCTGACTTTTACGCGTAGCCTTGTCTAGGGTATATTAATACATTACATACTTAGCTGGCTTGTGACAGAACATTTGTTTCATAAGCCGAGCATAAGAAAGATTTCCAGGCGCTTTGCTCAATTCTTTCAATTTGAAAGACCCTGTTCGGCAATGTTGTCTTCCACTTGATATTTTCATATAATTCATGGCCTTCCCCCTCTGCGTGAACAGCTGGTTCGCTTTTATGTGCCTTTTGAGCTAGGGCATCTCCATCCTTTCTCACAACATGGCCTAGCCAACGTAGTCGCTGCAGCTCGATACATTTGACTACGTCGTTGTCCGAGAACAGGTGGTACAGCTCATGGTTCATTCGACGACGATATTCCACGTCGACGCATTTCGGACCATAAATCTTCCGGAGAATTTTACTCTCAAACACTCAATTGTACTACAATTGTACTAAAGCTTGTGCATGCCCTTGACCAGCATCTGACCACCGGTCTTCAATAGTTTGGCTGATAATCCATCGGCACCTGTTGCGTTATTATTCATCTTGGCTAGGTAGTATACTGACTTCATCTTGGCTAGGTGGTGGTATAAACTCTATACCGTCACCTCTTATTGGTCCGGGGTAATTTCTTCACCGCCAATATTTCATATCAGCCTTCGGATTGGTGTTTTACTCGTTGTAAACTTTCTTTTTTTCTGAAAATACATATTTCATAAAAATACATACAGTTTTGAGTGCCTACATCTAGCTCAGAACCCTATAGACTATTTTTTTTTAATTAAATAAAAACAAGTAAAAACGATGTAAAGTTCGGCCGGGCAAAACCATGAAGATGACAATCAAATTATCTGATATTAAAGGAGGCACCCAAGAAAAAACTCATGATATTATAGGACCTCCCCCCTTTTGGTGGAGGGTATAATAATAAATATATGTAAAATAGTTACCATTTTTTCACTATTTTGAATGAAAGAACCTCATGAATGAGTATTTGATGGATTATTGAAAATTGTACAGCATTTTTAATCAAAAAAGGTACAAATGTACCCGGGTTAAGTTAAAAAAACGAAAAACGAATTTCCTTAATATAAGTATAGTACAAGAACCTCGCAGCTTCTGAAATAGATACTGTGAAAATAATAAATTAAAAAAAAGACTAATAAAAAGTTATAACAACCTGCTGATGTGTTTATAAGTAAAGTCTCCAAAACAGAGTTGCATTAAGGGCTAAGCAGAATGCTCGCGTTGAGCCATCCGTTGCGTTAAGTGTTATCGAAAATACAACAACTACATGGAAACGATAACACAAACGCTCGAAGTTGATGTGCGCTGCGCTTCGGAGTTAAATATATTTTAACTTTTTGCGTGCGTTAACGCGATAACAAAAACGCTCAACGCGAACATTCTGTTTAGCCCTTTAGTCTTATTTTCATCAAATTGAAACTACCTTTTTATAGTGCCACCGTTCGGAATAATTTCAAAATAGTAATAATAAATTAAAGTTAACAATCCTTATTAAGAAATCACCAAAGTAGATCTATCTTTTTTGTATTATTAACACTTAATTTTTATTGTTAATTTTTCTTTTGTTATTACCAAAAATCCATTTTCTGTAATAACTCCTTTAATTGAACGCTTTCCGTTCGCCGCTTTCATTTAATCTCACACGCTGACATTTCTCTTTCGCTCTCTCTCTCTCTCACTAAATTACCGCATACCCATTGCAACGCGTACTCAATTGATGACAACTAACTAACCGCTACTCATTTCTACAACACTAGAAAAAAGATGGCCGCAAGAAACAAGTGAAAATTCATTCAACAATAAAATAATAAACAATCGAAAAATATTGTGATTTTACAACATTAAAAATATATTTATTTAATAATATATTGTATAAGTTATTAGGAAAATGTGAAATTTTTACTCTACGTCAGAGTATAGTGTGTAAAATTGAGAAAACAAAAAGTGCCACAATTCTCGTTGTCTGCAAACAGGAGTTCATTGAAGAAAAAAAAAACGAAAAGAAATACCCAGTGATTGAGTGGTGTACTACACTCTGCTGGCTACTGCTTCTTCTTCTCCATGCCAGCTATGTGAAACGAGTTGCTAACGTGTGTGTGTGTTTGTGAGTGCGAGTGTATTTCTGTGTTTATGAAAGATTTCTACAAAAAAGTATATGCAAGATTTAATGAGAAAGGAATGCGATAAATAAATTTAAATAAATCAAATTTGCAATAATGATTTGTTAGTAATTTAAACGAAAAAGAAGAAGCACTACAAGTTAACACAGCAACAACGAAACAAAAATGTTACAATACAAAAATCCCTCTGCTGCGCCAGGTAATACCTCTGCCACAGCCGCCCCGCCTACACAGCAGACAACACAGGTACAGCAGCAGCAACAACAACAGCCGCAACAGCAGACATTGGTTCAAAATGCAGCGGCCCAACAACAACAACAAATTCAAACACAAATCCAGACAGCACAGCCAACACAAGTGAAAGCCACCTTCATGAATCCCTCTGCCGCTGCTCAGGGCCAGTCCCAGCTACAGGCGGCCGGTGGCACCGCTCTGCAACCCAATCAAATACCTTTATCACAGATTATCAACATTCAACAATTGCCGCAACAATTTCTTCAAGCAGCTGCCGCGCAACAACAACAAGCACCTACCCACCAACAGACCCAATCACTACCACAAAATATGTTTCAAATAGTGCAGCCCATGCAAACGGTAAATATCGATGGTCAGGAGGCAATTTTTATACCGAATTTCAATACCCAATTGGCGGCAGCTCAGCCGGTGAACATAAATGGTCAACAGGTTTTCCTCACACCCAATGGCCAGATAGTGAGGGCACCACAAGCTACCCAACAAACCACCGCAGTACAACTGCAACCGGGTACACAGTTTATTCAGGGTTTGGGACAGACAATACAACTGCCTGCTGGATTTGGTACAGCTGGTGCCCTGCAAGAGCAGACAATGTTTACGATACCGGGTACGAATATTCAAATCCCCATCACAACCGCTCCCACACCCCAGCAGATACAACAGCAGCAATTGCAGCAACTGTTTCAACAGCAACAACAACAGCAGCAGCAACAATCTCAGTTGCAAGCTCAAGTACAGGCACAAGCTCAGGCTCAACAACAAGCCCAACAGCAGCAGCAGCAACAACAACAAGCAGCTCAACAACAGGCCCAACAGCAGCAACAACAGCAGCAAGTTAATAATGCTGCTGGCAATAACAATTCCACAACTGGAACAGTTCCTACGAACTCCGGACCAGGGCAAACTGCCACCCTGCAAACTGCAAACATACCAGCTGGTGGCACAACTACCACCACAACCACCACGTTACCCAGTACAATAACAATTCCCGGTACAAATATACAAATACCCACCTCTGTGGCGGCTGCCAATGGATTACTGGGTAACCTGCAACAACTATTGGCAACCGGCGGAAACGCCTCCATAAAACTCGATAATGGTCAGACGCTGCAAAATATACAAATACGCCAGGCAGGTCCAGCAACCACCGGCACAGCATCTCAGCTACAACAAATTGTGCAATTTCCACCTTCCCTGCAGCAGGCTCCCGCAGCAGCCGTTCCCCAACCAGCATTACAACAGACCACAGTTGCCGTTCAAGTTCCCATACAAACTGCCAATGGACAGACGATTTATCAAACTGTTCATGTACCCGTCCAACAGTTGACCGGTGGCGGAGGTGGTATTTCGGCCACAAATCTCCTGCCCACCGCTCAACATATGGCAATGCCACAAATAATACCCCAGTATACGCAGATAGCACAGATTGTTACACCTAGTGGGCAGATTCAACAGGTGCAATTGGCTCCGCTGAATGCTCTAACATCCTATCAACAATTGCCTACAAATGCCAATATTATTCATATTCAGAATGCGGCTGCAGCCCAGCAGCAGGCGGCAGTTGTTGCCCATCAGCAACAACAGCAGCAACAACAGGCTGCCCAAGTTCAAGTCCAACAACAACAGCAGCAGCATCAGCAACAACAGCAAGTTCAACAGCAGGCTGCTGCAGCCGCTGTGGCGGCACAACAACAGGCTGCCCAGGTTCAACATCAACAACAGCTGCAACAGCAGCAGCAACAAATAATCAATGCCATCAATGCAGCAAATGAGTCGGGAGCTCAAATTCCCACAAATCAACCGATAACCATAACAAATGCGCAAGGTCAACAGGTCACCGTGATACCAGCTCAACAACTACAACAATTCCAACGTGCCAATATAGCTGCTGCTGCGGCTGCCCACCAAACTGCGGCCACCGCAACCCCTGCACCACAAGCAACAACAGCTGCCGCCACCACAGCCACAGTTCCTCAAGCAGCGGCGAATCTCATACAATTCCAGCAAATGCCTGGCCTACAAGCCCTGCCAATACAAAATATACCCGGCATTGGACAGGTACAAATAATACAAGCTCAACAGTTACCACCCAATCTGCAAGCGGCTAATATTCAACAAATATTGGCAGCGGCAGCTGCTCCTCCCCCTCCGCAGTCAGCAACAGCAACTGGTCAACAAAATCTCCAACAATCCTCACCACAGACCACAAATCCCAACACCCAGTCCCAAGCAAACGCACAATCCTCCACACAAAATGTTCCCACAACCAGTAACACACAACCTTCACCCCAAGCCGCCCAACCCACATCGACAACAAATAACACGCCGGGAGGTAATATAACATCTGGCACACTGCAACAACAAATTACAGCCGGTAATGTAGCCTCCTCATCGAATGTTACCACAACGGGGCAACAACCTACAAATCAAACTTCACCAGCCGCCAATAACAGCAACAGCCAACAACAACAGCAGCAGCAACATCATCAATTGGCTACACAACAACAAAATAACACCCCCAGCAGCACAACAGCCATTACCACCGCCACATTGCAACAACCCAAACAGGAACCACCATCCCCGACACAAATTGGTCAAACTTTGATAACCAACATTAAACAAGAGCCACCAGATAATGGTCCCATTTCAGCTGGTACCACCTCAATAAGTGTTCCTGCCTCACCGGTTGCCGCAAATGCTGTAACAAGTACCCAAATTAAATGGTTAATGCCACAAGCCACAACTGTCACCCAGGTGAGTTCCCTATATCTTTATATGTGTGGTGTTTAATGTGACACACAATTATTAATAAATAACCCACATACTTACTATACATACATATACTATATCCATATATCACGGAAGTCGTTTCGCACTAAAATTTGTTTGAATGTCTTTGGAAATTTTGAAAGCGAATATGAAAATGAAATCTTTTTATTAGAAATCTTTGTAAGCGTTTCGACTCCCGCGCATTTGCGCTTATCAACCAGATTTCATTAGAATATAATAAGCAATTTGTTTTCCCCGCCCGCCTAATCATCTGTATGTAAATATGGTGTTTGTCTTTATAAATCATTATTTTTATTTATTTATGCATTTCAATTGAGGGAATCGTTTTCAGAATTAATAATCGGAGCTTATAAGAAATTGTTGAACATATTGACAATCATTGAGGATCAAAAATTGAGAAAATATTAGCCTTTAGAAAACCCCATATCAAGTTCCCGTCACATATGTAGTCTTAGCTACAACAATTTGTGCAATTTCCACCCACCTTACAACAGGCCCCAGCAGCAGCCGTACCCAAACCAGCATAACAACCCCTACGAACTGCCAATGGACAACAAAACCCCATATGAAGTTCCCGTCTCACATTAGTCATTTCCATGGACCTAGACTAACTTCCCAAGCGATATATGTATTTTTCGTGGTTGACAATTTTGAAATGGTCCATGTTTTGATATAGCACCGATATAAGAGTCGCATCCACCCCAAGTCGAAATAACTTACTGTATTTGTACGAATATTAATCAAACCTGTCTTATAGGCCCTCTAATTATCCGTTTCCTGAATGTACCTTTGTATCAAACTCTATAGATCATGAAGATCTGCCATTGCGTGCCTTGGTAAGGGAAGTCTGTTCCCAAGACTATAGTAGAGGTGTTCCCTACGATTATAGTGAAGCAGGTACTACGTCAAGAACAGTTGGTTGAATTCATGAACAGATAAGATAGCCTTCTCCCCATGAAAATGGATTCAGACACAGTTCCGAAATGAGGATATTGGAGGTTAATTGAAAGGGACCGACGAAATTGGTAGCCCTTTAGGATTCGTCAATCAACGAAGCCCTACATTCTACTTTCAAATGCAATCCAAATGACTTATAACAACGGTGAAGGGACCGGCGTTGTTATAAGTCGGGACTCTTGTACCCTAAAAACGGTGCCTTATGGTCATTATGAGGCTAGAAGTTCCATTTGAATATAATTGGTATACTGATTGCAGACCATGAGATCACAATGTCTATCTCACCGATCAAGACTTTACTGGCACTCGGTCATAGGTTTCTAGACCGGTATTTAGACGGGGATTTTAAAAACATTTCTGAAAGCCCCTAGATAGGTTTCTGTACGTCAATTTTTAAAACATTTCATTAAGCCTCCAGATAGGTCTTTAGGCGTGAATTTTTAAAGCATTTCTAAAAGCCTCCAGATTAGTGTCTAGGCGTCGACTTTAAAAGCATGTCTAAAACTTCCAGATCGGTCTCTAGGCGTGGTCTTTAAAGACATTTCTAAAGCATCCAGATAGGTCTCTAGGCGTGGATTATATAAGCATTCCCTTAAGCCTCGAAATAGGTCTCTTTGGATAGATTTTTAAAAAAATTCTTAAAGCCTACAGAGTGGTCCCTGGGCTTGGTATTTAGGTATTTCGGCGCGGTTATTAATGCATTTTTAAAAGCCTCCACATAGGTATTTAAATGTAAATTTTTAGAGCATTTCTCGATAAAAGCCCACATATAGGTCTATAGGCATTGATTTTGAAACCATTTCTTAAAAAATACAGATATGTTTCTAAACATTTCTTAAAGTGAACATAAAAGCCTCTAGGCGTGGATTTTTAGAGTATTTTAGAATTTTATCAAAGCCTGCATAATGCTTGGGATTGAATATTTATAGCTTCTGTAATGGCCTTTAAACGTGGATTTCATATAGCCCCCGTAATGGTCTCTTGGCGTGGATTTTATGGCCTCCGTAATAGCCTCTTGGCGTGCATTTGTATAGGCTCTTTAATGATCTTTAGTCCTTATTTTTTAGAATCCGTAATGGTCCCTAGACGTGGATTTTTTATACCTCAGCAACGGCCTCAAAATGTGAATTTTTATAGCCTGAGTATCGGTCTCTAGGCGTGGATTTTTTATAGCCTCTAGTTGTGGCCTCTAGTCGTGGATTTTATATAGTCTCCGTAATGGTATCTAGGCGTTGATTTTATAGCCTACGTAATAGCCTCTGGCGTGCATTTTTACAGCCTCTATAATGATCTCTAGCCGTGGACTGGAGTAGATTTTTTATAGCCTCAGTATCGGTATTTAGGCGTAGATTTGTTGTAGCCTCTGTAATGGACTCTTGGTATGGATTTTATAGCCTCCGTAATGAACTCTCGGCGTGGATTTAAAATAATGGCCTCTTGGCGTGGATTTTTATAGCATCTAGGCTTTGATTTTTTGTAACCTAGATTGTGTCGTGGATTTTTAAGATTATTTTAATTTTTAATTAATATACGACCTAAAAATATTGTAATTTAGAGGATGGCAATTCCCACCCTAACAAACATAGGCATTCGGTAATTTCCTTCGAGACGATTCCCTAAGGACCACTGCGCGGGACTGCTTTTTTTAGTAGAATCTACATTTAATATTCAATAACGTATAAAGCTCTTAAATGGCTTGCGATTAATTCCGTTCATCACTTCACTTCTTAATTCATTTTATCAATTTCTAACATACTAATTTCTCACCAACCATCCATTTTCGCTATGCTTTCTTTTTGTTCTCACACAAAAAACAATACCATACAAAAATTTTTAACCAAAATAAAAATAATAACAATAATTAAATCTGGTGATGGTGGCTTTTTTTGTTTTGTTCAAATTAAAAATAAGAAACAAACAACAACAAACAAAGAAATTCCTTAAAGACGAACAAATTTTAATGAATGATCTTTCCCCTTGACACACTGTTAAACTAACAGTCTACGCATCCTTACAGGTACAGCAGCAACAGGCGCAATTACAGCAAATCCAACAGCAACTCCAACAAGCTCAACAACAACAGCAGCAGCAACAACAACAGCATTTGCAGCAGCAGCAACATCAATTCCAACAGCAACAACAACACCAGCAGCAGCAACAATCTCAGCAACCAACCCAACAACATATCGTCTCAGCCATCGATAATATGGGAATACCAGTAACTCTGCCAGCCTCATTGCAAATTACCCCTATACCAGCAACATTGCAAGGAGCTCCACATCAGCAGCAGCAACATTTTACTATACCCCTTGGTAGGACAACACTTATTAAACCCCATACTACAAATAGTTTAAATTCGGTGTCAAATAATCCCCAAACATCAACATCATCGGTGACCAGTAGTTTGGGTGGTACCCAAATTACCATTGCCGCCACTACCACCACCACCACCAATGCCAACAACAATAATAATAACCCTGGCCAACAATCATCCAATGCAACATCTCAAGCACAAAACTCAACGACTGCAACATCTGCCGCTGCAGCATCATCAGCACAACCCCCTCCTCCTCCTCCCTCACAAACCTCCGTCAATGTAAACATTAATCTCAATGATCCCGGTAATTTGGGGATAAAACCTCGATTAAAACGAGTTGCCTGCACCTGCCCGAATTGTGTTGATGGTGAAAATAAATCCGATCGGAAGAAACAACACATCTGCCATATACCCGGTTGCAATAAAGTCTACGGCAAGACATCCCACCTCAGAGCCCATTTACGTTGGCATACCGGTGAACGGCCGTTTGTCTGCTCGTGGCTATTTTGTGGTAAACGTTTTACACGATCCGATGAATTGCAACGGCATCGACGTACCCACACAGGGGAGAAACGATTTCAATGTCCCGAATGTTATAAGAAATTTATGCGTTCCGATCATTTGTCGAAACACATAAAGACGCATTTGAAATCTCGAGCAGCCCTAGAACGTATCGAATTGTACAATTACAAACAGGAAAATATTAAACAAGAGCCGGGCGGTGATGATATGCAGGATATGGATGGAAATGTTGTTGGTATGGATATGCCACAGAGGGGAGGACAACATCATTTAGATGCCAACACAGTTGCTGGTTCAACTGGTAGTGGTGGTATGATAATGGGTGGTGGTATGGGTAACACTTCCATGTCTTCCCTGGATGGCAGCCTAAACAACTCTTCCACTGGTGGTGGCCTAATAATGAACGAGGCTGACATCTCCAATCAAACTGATAGCTATGGCGAAGATGATGACTGTGATGAGGACGAAGATGACGAGCTAATGGACGACGATGAAGATAGTGGTGATGATGAAGAGAAAATGACCATTTCTATTAATGAATTTCCGGAAAACTCCAACTAGCAGGACATAGATATGTTAATAGAACAATATATGTTTGATGATTTCTGATGAAAGTGAGAAGGGGTGGCGGCGACAGCAGCGGGGTGATGTTAGAAACAAGAGACTGAAGTGAAGGTGATATGAGGGAGGGATTTTAATAATACGGAAATCATTTATCCAATTAGTGGATATTTTATAATCGGGGTGTTTAAATTGGGTTAAAATTTAGACAACTAAAGTCGAAAGTGATGGATATTCCTTTTTTGTTCCACAATTTTATACATTTTTTTGGCTCAGTATCATCCATTGTATATATTTTGTAATTTTTGGAGATTTTACAAAGTGGATTTCTTTAAAACACACATCTTCGGATTTTCAAAAGATATTTGTCGATTATTTCTAAAGATTATTTAAGTCTATTATTACGCCTCTAGATCTGCATATTTCAGGATTCGATAAACCCTTAAGAGCCTTTTAAAGAGTTTTTTTTTAACTCCATAGAAGCCAGGATGAGCGTATGTTTAAAGGCCTCAAGGCGAGGATATTTAACGGAAATATGATTAAAAAGCGTCCATAAATGTCTATTGGTCTTGAGACGTGGTTTATTAAAGATTTTCCCAAAGCCCCCATGAAGGCCTCTAGGCGTGGTTTATTAGATTTTTTCTCACGCCCCCATGAAAGCCACTAGCCATGTTTTATTAAAGATTTTTCCCAGTCCCTCATGAAGGACACTAGGCGTTGATTTTTATATCTTTCAAAAATGTGGTTTTTTAGGCCTTCATAAGGAATACTACGCGCAAATTTTCTAAAATATTTTTAGGCCTGTAGGTGTGGATTTTTAATGGTCTTTATAAAGACTACATAAAGGCCAATAGTTGTGTGTATTAAAGTCTCCATGAAGACCACTGGAAAATATTTTTTTAATTCTCTATTAAAAGCTCAAAGCGAAGGCGTGAATTTTGAAATAATATTTTAAACACTCCGAAAAGGTCTCTGGACGTACTTAATTTAAATATTTTTTATAGGCTCCTAAAGATCTCTAGGTGTGGATTTTTAAAAAAAAAACTTTTAATGACTCCATGAAGGCCATTAGGCGTCTATTTAAAAAAATGTAAATACTCCATAAAGGTCACTAGACATGGATTTTTTAAGATTTTTTTAAAGCCTCCACAAAGTTCACTAGGCGTGGATTTTTTAAAGCCTCCATAAAGGCTACTAGGTTTGGATTTTTTTCACATAAAGGCCACTAGGAGTGGGAAATTTTTTAAAGGCCACTATGAATGGATTTTTTAAAGTCTCCATAAAGGCCACTAGGCATGGATTTGTATAGAATTTTAAAGCTTTGTAAAGTGGCCTTTAGGAATGTATTTTTGAAGCCTCTATAAAGGCAACTAGGCCTGGATTTTTTAAATTCTTCAAAGGCTCCATAAAGGCCACTAGAAGTGGATTTTTAAAGCTTCCACAAAGACCATTTGGCATGGATTTTTAGTCTCCATAAAGGCCACTAGGCATAGATTTTTTAAAGCTTCCATAAAGGCCACAAGGCATGGATTTAAAAAAAAGCCTCCAGACCACAAGGAATGAATTTTAAAATATTTTTTTAAAACCTCCGTAATGGCCTCTAGGCGTAGATTTTTTAAAGCCTCCGTATTAGCCACTAAACGTAGATTTTTTACACCCTCCCTAAAGACCTGTAGGCGTGGATTTTTATAGCCTCCGTAATGGCCTCTAGGCGTGGATTTTTTGTAACCTCCGTAATGGCTAATAGCCGTGAATTTTTATAGTCGCCGTAATGGCCTTTAGGCGTGGATTTTTTACAGCCTTCGTAATGGCATCTAGGCGTGGATTTTTATAGCCTACATAAAGACCACTAGGCGGGGTTTTTTGAAGCCTCTATAAAGGACAATATGCGGGGATTTCTAAAGCCTCTATGAAGGCCACTAGGCGGGGATTTTTAAAGCATCTATAAAGACCAATAGTAGTGGATTTTTAAAGCCTCTATAAAGTCCAATATGTGGGGATTTTTAAAGCCTATTTTTAAAAAATATTTCTAAAATTTTAGTGACACCATTAAAGCCTCAAGGCGTGTATTTTTAAAACTTCCATATGAGCCACAGTTTAAGCCACTTTAAAGGGTCCTAGAATTATTTTTTTAAGTCATTTCAAAGCTAGTTTTGCATTTTTAAGTCACTGAAGGGGTCTCATGAAGCTCAGATTCATGTTTAAGGAATTTTAGAGACATTATAAAAGTCTTTTAATTAAATTTGAGATTGAATGGGTGTTCAAAATAAAAACAGCTACTGATAGCAGATTTATAGAGCTTCCAAATTACCTGAAAGTCCACGCCTCTATGGCTCATACGCAGTTTCCCAAATATTATTAAATGGGGTTCGAATATTTTTTTTTCAAATTTCTTTATTAAAATAGGTGTCCATCAAAATATATATTTATTTTCTTTAACAAAAAAAATAGTTTCATTTTGAAACGACTGTGATGTGTAAAATTGTTGTACAGGAAAATAGCAACAACAACTATGTAAATAATTCTCCTTTCATCAGTTAGTCATACAACAAACGTCATTAATACATATTATTTATGTAAATTAAAAAATAAACACAATATCGAAATTAAAATTAGTGAAAAAAGAAATCGTTTAAAAGATTTTAATCGAATGAGCAGAAAATAAAGAAGAAAATTAGTAAATAACTATTGGGGGTTTTAAAATTTCTGAAACAACAACAAAGTATTTGTAATAAATAGTCTAGGTTATAATTTTACAATGTTTCAAATTTATAGAAAATAAAAAAACAAAACAAAAAAGTTAATAATAAGACGTACTTTTAAAGTACATTGGCCCACTTAGATCCTTAATGTATTTCAATAAATTATGTTCATACATGATAGTACACTATATATAGAATAGTTCTGTAAATAATACTCTTAATTAATCATAAATGTATATAACTTGTGTTATTTTTTTTAATTGTCCTTAGTTTTTTTATTACATATAAAAATTAAAAAAAAAATACAAAAACAAAAAAACTAAGCAATTAATATTATTGTCGTATTACAAGCAAAAAATGTTTTATATTTATTTAAATAAACTAAGTGACAATTTTATATATGTATATGTAATTGTAGAAAAAAATAACACATTTCTTTTTGTCTTATTGTTTATAAATATATATCTTTAAATATGTGCTTATTATGTGTACTTATGAACATGTTTTTTTTTTATTTTATTTCCTTAGATGTTTTTAATTTTTTATTTTTTTATCCGTCATCATCGTAATAAAAAACGAATTACAAATTCGTATAGCAGCAAATGAATCAAGAATTTATATAAAATAAAATATGAAACTACATAATACTATTAAAAATATATATTTTTCTGTTTAGCTATAATTATATATATAGAATATATATATGAAATTTTTAATTTTTAAGACGAAAATCTAACTAGAAATATATGGCCCAACTAATTTGATGATGCACCCATAGAGATATGCGGCCATCGCTAATACACAATGCAAAACAAGAAACTTTTTTTTTAATATATCATCACATTTCTTGAAAAGAGACCATTTCAAAATAATAATAATATTATAAATATATACATACTTATAAAGAAAATTTTAAATGAATAATGTGTTTAATTTTTTGATATAACATAACCAAATCGCTAATTATTATTCCTCAAAATTCGAATTGTAAATAGGGTGCATTTTTGGGTAGTAAAGAATTTTATATCAGACGACTTTTAATATATTAAGGATGCCAATGAATTCTTAAATCTCCCTAAAGACGACGTAGGGCCAAGGTACCAAAAGTGATTTCAAAAATAACAACCAATATATATCTAACGATTATTAAAAGTATCCGAAAATACATCTATGTGCGAATTTTTAAAGGCTTCATGGATTTTTTAAGGATATTTGAAAACCTCCCCCAGTAGTGGCTAAAAAGACCCCTATTGCTTTTTGTAATGATCCGTTAATATTTAGGGGATGAAATGGACCAAAAGCTGTATTTTTGACTGTTTTTCTAGTCGCTCTAGAGAGGTCACACTTATGACCCGAACACCACAAAACTTTACACAGATCGAAGGGTCTGGCCTTAGAATAAGCAAAACAGTCTTGATGAAGATTTTTGTGTGAAAAATTACAAAATTTTTATTCTAAGGCCAAATACTTAAAACGGCTGTTTAGATAACGATCGGTCAATATTCCGAGGGTAAAAGTACCAAATTTTTATTTTATGGCCTAAATGTTTGGTCTGGGAAAACATGATTCGGAAAATATGCCAGGGTTAGAACGTGAAGCTGTTGACAGATAATGGGTCGAGCAGGTACAAATATCGCGAAATATTACCCTGGCTCGAAATATAGATCCACGGAAGTTAGGTAGTTGTGATACCTTACACAAAATATATATGTATATATGGTAGGCCCCGTCCAACTATACTGCTCCGCTCACTATTTAAAGATTTGAAAAGCCTCCTCTAGACATGCATTTTTAACAAAACCTTGGCTTAGATTTTTAACTTCTTTTGCAAGACTACTTCAGTCATTGATTGGAGACTTTCTCTAGGTGTGGATTTTAAAGATTTTTAGAGGACCCCTCTAGACGTGGATTTTCAACGATTTCTCTCAGCATGCTGATTTTTCCAGATTTCTCTAGGCATGAATTTTTTTTCGACTTTTGAAAGCCTTTGTGCGGAGGAAACTCTGAAAATGTCTCAAGGTGAGAATTTGTAACTATTTTAAAAGCCTCTGTATACGCCACCAGGTTTTTTTTTTTGATTTTGGAATAAAATGTGATCGCCTTTCGGTATAGGTTTTTATAGGTTGTTGTTGTTGTAGCAACAGAATACATGTAGTCTGTCATTCATCGTCTGGTTCTGCTTCAAAAATTCAAAAATGTTGCAACTTGAACGGGTTGCGTCCAAAGTGAATTCGGCGATAGATGAGTCGGCTTAGCTGGGCATTTGAAGAGATGCAACGTGTCGTGTGATCCTAGTCC